GGGCTCAGGCAATCCACTCACCTCAGCCTCCCAAAGGCGCAGGATTACAGGCTGAGCCACCAAGCCCGGCTTTCCAGGTATCTTTTATGATTGATTTTTGGAACCCGGATTTCATCATGCTCATCACATTGCACTTGATCATTTGTTCTCACTGCCTTTGGAATAGATCCTAGCCTTTGACCTTGACTTTTTGAGGAGACCAGTCTCGTTTTCTGTAGCATGTCCCACATTTTGGGCTCTGATAGTGTCTACTTTTCCTCCATTTTCTATAAACTGAGAGTTGGGCCCAGGGGTCTGTTTAAAGTTGAGCATGTTTGGCAAGAACACCTCAAGGGTAACGCTGTGGCGCTCATGTTCACATCAGAAGGCGCCTAATGCCAGGTTCTTCCACTTTTAAAACATTTTTTATTTCTAAGCTTTCTTTCATCACTCTTAGAAAATACTTAGGAAAGTATATCACCGGTGCATCTTACAGCAAGTCAAGTTTACAACAAAACTAAACACAGTACTGTAATTGTGTTTACAAAAGATGTTTTTAGCAAAAAAATTATGCAATCTAGTCCATTGAATGTAGTGTTTATACTTTTTAGGTGTATGGAAAAATGGAAAATAAGTCTTCTGCTACTAGTCTGGGTGTGGTGGCTCATGCCTATCATCCAGCACTCGTGCTTGAACCCATGTGTTCAAGACCAACCTGGGCAACATAGTGGGACCTTGTCTCTTCAAAAAAACTTTAAAAATTGGGCAACCCCCTCGAGTCTCCTCCCACTGTGGGAGCTTTTCTGTCCTCTCAATAAATCCTGCTTTTAAAAAAATTAAAAAATTAGTTGGGGATGGTGGTGCACACCTGTAGTCCCACCTACTCAGGAGGCTGAGGTGGAAGGATGGCCTGAGCCCAGGTGGTTGAGGCTGTGGTAAGCCGTGATTGTGCCACTGCACTGCAGCCTGGGCGACAGAGTGAGATCCCAACTTAAAAAGTTTAAAAAAAAGGATAAATGTGTCCTTCTTTCCCTTTTAATTACCCATTCTCCAAGTAAGGAGTGGTGTAAGTCAGTTATACTTAGGGTTGCATTATGGCTTTTGCCTTCATGGGCCCTTCTCCACAGAAATACATTAAAAATCATATCTTACAGCTATAATGGTTTAAAGGTAAATACATCCTGGGCTAGATTCATTGCCATGTGTTTATTATTATATTCATCTGTTTCTTTCTGGAGAAACATATTCTGGCAGTTGGCACTGTGCCTACTGTGTCTAATAGGTAAGTCGGTCCTAGTGTGTCCTAGTCAGGTCCAGGCAGGTGATAACAGAGAAGGGTTGATTCTGAGTGCATGTGCCTGGATGGGATGAAAGGAGGGCGATTGTGTGGTGCTGTCTAAAGGCAAGGGGCATTTAGTTCCTGGAGAAAGTTGCCACGCAGGAAAATGAGGTAGCCTGATCAGGTGCCAGACCATTTCATTTTTCAGGAGAAGCCAGAAAAAGAGACTTAAAATTTGCTAGCCTGGGCAACATAGTGAGACCTCGTCTCCATTAAAAAAATTAGCCGGGTGTGGTGGTGTGTGCCTGTAGTCCCAACTACTAGGGAGACTGAGGTGGAAGGATCGCCAGAGCCCAGCAGGTCAAGGCTGAGGTGAGCTGTGATTGTAGTGATAATGCCACTGCACTCCAGCCTGGGCAACAGAGCAAGACCCTATCTAAAAAAAAATTGATGACTGGCCTCAGTGGCTCAACCTATCATCGCAGCGTTTTGGGAGGGCAAGGCAGATGGATTGCCTAAGCCTACGGTTCAAGACCAGCCTGGGCAACTTGCCGTAGACCTTGTCTCTATAATAAATAAAAAATTAGCCTGACTTGGTAGTGTGCGCCTGTAGTTCTGGCTACTTGGAAGGGTGAGGCGGAAGAATTGCAGGATCCCAGTGGGTCGACACCGGAGTGGCCATGAACATGCCACTGCACTCCAGCCTGGGCGACGGAGTGAGACTTCAAGTCAAAAAAAAAAAAATTGAAATTCTCTATTTTTAATTGTTGGATCCGTTTTGAAAAACCTATGATCTGGTGCCTGCGAGCTGCCAGTCTGAGATGTCTGTTAACCATGAGGCTGAGAGGAGTGTGCCCATCCCTGTACTCAGTATCTCAGGGGAGACCTGGCACCCAGAAGGTCCTTGGACACATTTGCCAAGGACTGAGTGAATAATTATATTTCATTGAGTCAGCTTATTAAAATAAGTTGGATTGTATGCATCAGAGCCTAAGTAAAGGTCAGAAAACCAGGCCCTGGCTGGGCTCGGTGGCTCAGCCTGTAATCCCAGCACTTTGGGAAGCCAAGGTGAGTGGATTGCCTGAGCTTGTGGGTTCAAGACCCGCCTGGGCAACTTGACGAGACCTCATCTCTACAACAAATCAAAAATTAGCCGGGTGTGGTAGCGCGCACGCCTGTAGTTCCAGCTACTTGGAAGGCTGAGGCGGAAGGATCGCTGGAGCCCAGCAGGTCAAGGCTGCAGTGGCCGGGAGCGGCCACTGCACTCCAGTCTGGAGGACCGAGTGAGACTCCAACTCAAAAAAAAAAAAGAAAAGAAAAGAAAACCAGGCCCTGGACCGTGCTGCAAAGGAAAAAAAAGTGTGTTTTGGGTTATTCACAGCAACTTAAAGAGACTTGGCAGGAATAAAAATGTGTGAAGCCTCTTGAAACTGGCGTTATTGAATGGGTCAGGCCACCTTCATGATGTGGTCACCAGTCAGAGAGTTGAAGGGGGCTTCTGGGTGTCTTGAAAGAATATTGTTATTCAGTTTTATCTTTTTTTCTATGTAAGCCAGAAACATTGTGGTCAAAGCAACCTTGAAAAGAATGTTTTGTAATTTTGGGGTGGGGGAAGGAAGCAGCAAGTCCACCTTACAGCAAACGTTTTTCATCCCTGTCCTTGGCATGTGCTTGCAAAACCAAAGGAAGTTTGGTCAGAATCCTCCGTGTCCACACTGCACACTAGGTGAGGGCCTTTCCTGGTCAGGAAAGAGGATGAGACAGTGAGGTGATCCTTACGAGGAATGGGGAGGAGAGGCAGCAGCTGTGCCAGGAAGCTTTCTCTGACTTCTCGGACAGAAAAACACCAGTGCTGCCGAGGGCTTCTCTCTCATGCGGTCCCTAAGCCGTCCCCAGGGCTCAGTGCCCAGCCCTCTGCGGGCCCATGAGAACGCTCCATATGGCTTTCCACAGAGGTTGTACTAACAACTCTCCCACAGACGGTGTCTAAGCATTCCTTTCTCACCAGGTACACACCAACAGCTATTGTGTTTTGATTGTTTTCATAATGGCCATTCTGACTGGGGTAAGGTGGTTATTGCACTGTGGCTTTAATTAGCATTTCTAAAGCCCAGATTTCTTTGTTGCTGCACAATGCAACTGTTGGTACCCCCTAAAGCTACTGAAATAAAGTAAAAGGAAAAAAAGAGTCTGTATGGAGACCTGGCATCTTTTCCCTGGGGCCTCTGCCTCTTGGTCCTGTAGCCTCAGCCTTGCAGTGGTTGCTTCATGCTGTAACAGTGGTTGCAGAAATGCTTATTGAGCTATTATTATGTGCTGGGTACCTT